ATATATATCTTCACTGAGTTTATTTGACTTTTCAATTGTTCTGAGTGGCAGTCAGCTTACCGAGTGCTGTTAAACAATTCCTTTTTATGCCTGCAAAGAGAAAATACCAGCTGTAGTCAACTGTGATCACTAATGAGAAGTTAATTGCCTTGGCCTTTCCAAGTTAAAAATAGAGTCTTTAGCCTGACTAATTAAAAGCTTTAAGTGAATGCATCTTTATATTTAAGCCTGTATGTTTACTTTTAACCCTGTTTAGACAAGAGAAAATCAAAGTAAACTCAGACCAAAGCAATAATCATTATTTTTTCTTACTTATTACAACAATACATACAGTGTTGCCTTTGTAGACAAAAAGTTTTTAGTCTTTGTCTGACCTATATGCAAGAAATAGAAACAAATAAATGGCAATGTTTTGGTGTTTCAGTACAGAGTGATTTAGTCCCAGCAATAATCAGCCATGAACTTATTATCCTATATACTGATAATACAAGCATCCTGGAAGGACTGCCATACAGTAGATGTGTTAACTGGGCATATTTTAATGTAATCTCGACTGTTACCCACAAATAAATGTAATTCTGCTTAAGAACCTAGATTAATGTAGACAATGTAAGCTACTTATGAAAACATTTGCAACAATGTTTACTGCTGGAACACTGCCTTCCAGAGAAGCCCACTGTTTATTTGTTTATGACACTTGTGCCTTAGTATAATTTTGGTTATGGTCAGTGTAAGAAACAATATCCTGATCCAAATTCCTTAAATATCAGTTAACCTGCAGTGCCAGTGTGCTGTCACTTTTTGGGAAGGTTGAATGAATTTCTGTTTTAGAGATTTTAACAGAAACGTCTGATTTTGACTTTTTTTCCTTTGCTTTGTCTCTTCTAGGGGTCCAATGGGTTCAATGGGTAGTCCCAAGCCTGGCATGCAACAAGGAGGCCATGGAGGAGGAGGAATGGGAGGAGGAGGGATGGGTGGAATGGGAGGAGGTGGGATGGGAGGAATGGGAGGAGGAGGAATGGGTGGAATGGGAGGAGGTGGGATGGGAGGAGGCGGGATGGGGGGAATGGGAGGAGTTATGGGAGGAATAGGTGGAGGCGGGATGGGGGGAATGGGAGGAGGGATGGGAGGAATGGGAGGATTAGGTGGAGGAGGGATGGGGGGAATGGGAGGAGGAATGGGGGGAATAGCAGGAGGAATGGGGGGAATGGGAGGAGGAATGGGCAGTGGAGGAATAGGGTCAAGAGCTGGTGAGCCTTACCGCCTGGCCACTCACGAAGCTCCTACCTCTCCTAGACATATGCAGTCCAGCCAGGCCTCTGGAATGGGGCAGGGTCCAGGGTCTGGTCAAGGGATGGGTCACGGTCCAGCTGGGTCTAGCATGGGGGGTCATGGAGGTCAAAGTCCTGGTCAACATGCCTCTCGCCGAAACCTCCAAGTTGACTTCAGTGGTTCCGGCGGTTCCAGGACAGGTCGGTCTCCTTCTTTGTCTCCTGACCGTGGTGTGACACCCACCTCACCATACTCAGTGCCACAGATAGCACCCATGCCGAGCAGCAAGCTGTGCCCAGTGTGCACCACCACAGAGCTGTCTAACCCACCGGCTGTACCCAACTACAACACCTGCACCCAGTGCAAGGCCACTGTCTGCAACCAGTGTGGATTCAACCCCAACCCCCACCTCACTGAGGTAGGTCAGATTTAACAGTCAAGAGGTGCTTGCATGACCATTTGTTTGCTTTAAGATATCACTATATATGCATCAATAGAATAAATAATATGATCAGGCTCATTACTAATTGTTTAGGTAATTATCAAATTAATACTATTGGTGGACAGAAGGCAATCCTTCAGTTTTAAATGTTTAGAAATAACAGAAAAAAAGGGGACCATGCAGTTAAACTCTGAATGTTGAAGAATGGATCGAACAGAGAGATGGTTTCAGATGTTTTTTCTGGCCTGTTGAGTCAGTGAATGAAAAGAAGTACAGATATGGAGAGGGAGTGAGAGAAGTTTTTGCTTGAAGAGGCACTTCTTTTTTGACCAATAAAACACATTTGAATTGGATCAGATTGAACTGATGTGAGTGACCAAAAGAAGGGAGTAAATGCAGTGATCAAAGAAATGGGAGAAATGGCTTAAGGTGAGGGCAGTGTTGGGCCCGGAAGTGTGAAAGAATAAAGTTATATTTTCTCAGAAATACATGTCATTTATATAAAAACAGTGAGCAGTTTGAGTAAGCAGTACAAAGGCTGCATGAAGAACTTTATTTGTGATAGACTGTGCATATGTAGATTCATCAAGTGACAGCACTTCCTTGGTGCCAGAATCTCCATTAGTGTGCTAAGACATGACACATGGGTCACAAATGAGACTCAACTTAGGTGTGATGTGAAGACAGAAGGCCAAGGATTCTTGTATTTTGCAGTCAAAAGACAAGTTGAAAGGATGGATTAGTGCGATGTTCAGAGGTGTATGTAGGGATGAGGAGGAGGAAAAAGGTTAAGAGTCTCGTTTTGATTGAGAGGTTGATGCTCACCTTTGGTGATGGGGTCAAACTATCAGCCTCTTGTCAGCATCTGATGACTAATATCAAATATCAACATCTCTGAGCAGAAAGACTTTAGACAGAGAGCACAACCTCACTAGATTCAAAAGCATAAGGCTCTCTCTGATATATTAGCCATGCCGACACTCATTGATTCCCACTGTTGTCAGATACAGGCGCTTCTCATTCACAGACACCACAACAAACACTCCGCTGAATTAAACAAACAACTGTGTTTGTGTTGTTGTGACTCATTTTTCATTTGCTTTGGCACACTGAAACCAGAAGTATGTACCTAGTACATCATTCACCCCCATTGCTCCATGCTAACAAATTAGCATAGTAAATGGCTAATTATATTCAGGGTTAGAACACTCACAGATTGTGCTGGCAAGTAAAAGTCTTCTTTCTGTTTTTTAAAAAAGGAAACTAATACAGCTTAGTAAATGTGGAATCCTGTTCATTATCACTAACACTTGCTGTGTCGTCATACTTTTACGTCACAAAACACATCCTTTAAAATGTGTTAGCCTGGAGCTGGTGGTTGCATAATACATAGTCAGAACAAAGATGATTTTAGAGCTTATATGCAGGGTGTCAGCTTCCTGTGAAGGATACAGTGTTAATGTTAAGTAATTATCAGCATAGCCTGTCAAGGTTTTACCGCTGTTGTGTGTTTTTTGAGCTCTCCTACTCTATTTGTAGGATAGCAACTTCTGTCAGGCTCGTATGTGATCATTTTTTGTACGAAACTTAGATCAGATTTGCAGATCCTCTACTTGCGGTCCAGTGTGTGTATGTGAAGGAAAGAGAGAGTGGTCAAAGATGCTTGCAAAGAAAAGCGTCTGGACTTCTTTAAGTTGCTTGAAGACGTTTCACCTCTCATCCGAGAAGCTTCTTCAGTTCTAAGGTCAATTGGTGGAAAGAGAGAGTGAGAAGTACATGTTGATAACATGTACTTCTCACTCACATGCCCTTTATTATCATCTATATATCTGTAGAATGGTAGAGATGGGGGGAAAACATGTTGCATCTGTTTGCTGCATTTGAGTCACAAACCCTCCATCTTGTACCGATTAATTCTCTGGTCCTGCTGTTGTTTGGGTTTGTATGAATTATGGATCAGCTCTCTTCTCCTGTTAACATTCTCACTGTTTTCAATGTCCCTGCAAGTCAATGGTCCCACAGTTCTGTCCTGCAAACCTTATTATGCAAAGCAAATTACAATATTAATATGACTTATTTACTAACGACAGCATGAGATTAGTAAGCATAAGCATAAAAAAATAAAACATTTAAATGCCATAATTAAACAAATATCCTCCATAACATCCAATAATGCACAAAGCGAACACTGACGACTGTCTGTCACTCCTTAAATATTTTTCGGGTTTATTATATTGAAATCCACACATTTCTTTCCCACCCTTTTAGGAAAAAAAATACACACTGAAGGTTTTCTGCTTCCGCTGAGATATCTAGACTCATACAAAAAGAAAAACTCTTCCTTTACTTCTGTGTGTGAAGGGATCCAGCCATGTTATGTCTGCAGATATAGATTAATACCTAATCTAAACATTATCCACTAATATCACTTCTAATCAGTGCACCATGTACCCTAGTAATCCGACAAGCAGGGCTATGCTTCACATCTGCTGTGCTATGTTCTGATTTGATTTGCATAATTTAACATTAAACAGATGCAGCCAGGCAAGGAAAGAGATTATTTTAGCTATATTAGGAATCAGCTATGTTTTATTATGGGTATTTACGAACAGAAAATACCACATGAAAGCTAGAATACAATTAATAAAGGTGTGTTTTTTATATTTTATGATTAATTATATTTTAATAGGAAAAGGAGAAGACAGGAAAAATAAATGGCACAAAAAGGCACAAGACATTTTCTCGCTCAAAGTTTTAATTCTTTACACCTGTATGTTGAGGCTTAACCAAATTGTTTTATTCAAAAAAATGCAGAAAAGTACTTTAACTGAGCGAGTCGTCTTATAGAGAACTCCAAGTTGCATATCTGATCTCACACTAAGAAAACCAAACCAGGAGAGAGACATCAATTATCCAGCCAAAGAGCAGGATGAGAGAGAGATTATGATCGATGTATCTAATTCAAGAAGGTGGCATTTATGAAACTTGGCTTTCATGCCATTAATTGGCATTTGTGAACAATGATGAGTCATTTGGAATCATGCACTGAATATACAAACTGTGGATTATATTGTCATGTCAGCGGGCTGTATTTCTTTTGCAAATGGTATAGCACTTTTGCATTAGTGTAATAATTACCTACCCATCTGCACACTAGGAAAGCGACTAAATTCTTACTCAACTAAATGAGGGGAAAAAAGTAGACTAATTGACTAGTCTAAAACTAAGAAACACTAAAATATTTAGTTAAATGTCAAAACCGTTTAATGGAAAATGTCAAAAACTGATAAGAAAGGCGTTTTAAGCCATTTATGACATTCTTCGATAACGAATCATGTTGATTAACTGTGCGTCACCTTGCATTGTGCATTATCAACATTACATGTTATGATCCAGACAGCGAAGAAGAAAAATACTTATATATATGATATGAAAAAATATAAATGTAATATATGTTCATGTATTTCTAAAATATGAGAACATCTGGAAGATGAATAAATCGCGACTTGCTGTGCATTATTAATGATGCAGATTGTTGAAAATTCATGACAACCACTTGAACAAGGTAAAATCTAACATAACACATTAGTGTGTGAATGTGTGTGTGAATGGGTGGATGACTGGTTGTGTAAAGCGCTTTGGGGTCCTTAGGGACTAGTAAAGCGCTATACAAATACAGGCCATTTTACCACTTCCCCCAGCTTATCCGGGGAAATGTCAAGTGTTTCCCAGGACAGCTGACAGATGTAATCGCTCCAGCATACCCGGGTCTATGTTGTGGCCTCTGGCTGCTAACACATGCCTGGTCTGAAGACTTTACCCAGGAGATGACGGAGTTAGCCGTATCCTTTCGATGTGGAAGAGTAGCGGCTCTACGCTGAACCCCTCCCAAATGAATGATCTCATCACCCTATCGCTAAGGAACAGCCCATCCACCTTTCAGAGAAAACTCATTTCCGCTGCTTGTATCCGTGACCTTGTACTAATAGTGGTAACAAAAGGATAGGCCAAGATTCACAGATTTATGGGGTTTCTCAACAGTGATTCACCATCTAGTTGCAGATACTGTAGCTGCATAACATTTAGGACACGATAGCTTACCGGCATTGGGCATCAGTTAAAATTAGCTAGATTAAATGACCAGTAAGTCTACATACATATATGTCTTAATTTCTTAATTCGATTAACCTTTCATGTTAATCAAAGTTTCTTTTAGTTGTTCTAACTCTCTTATCAATAGGAGTCCATTCAGTTCTGATAGCTTGATTTAATTTGGTCGGATTCAGTTTACCCAATGCTTTCACTCACTGTACGTGCAAAGTGGCTGATTATGAATACTCAATAACACTTCAATGAGTTACCAATAAAACTCCAACAGAACAAATTTGAATGGTGAAAATTAAACTGACTGTTTACTGATTTACAAGAAAATCATTTGAATTCATTATCCAGTGTGTAATCAATTCACGGCTTAAGTCCTCTGCACGCTTCAGTAACAGAAAATATTGTCAAGGCGTGCTGTGTGGTAGGTGGAGAGCATACCCAAAATGCAGGAACCCTCAGACTAAAGTAAACTCAAAGTGCAGCTTTATTAGCTAGCACCAGCAAGCTTAACGAAAACATAAGGTGAGTACACAACATCGAGGAGTACAACAATGACATGATGAAGACTAGAGGGAAACTGAGGACTTTAATACGCACACGAGGTAACTAGGAAGATGCAAAACAGCTGGGCAAAAGAAGGCACAAGTGAACTTAGTCAGACAGGGGAAGCAAAACTGAATACAAGCGGGACAAGAAACTATCAAAATAAAACAGGATGCTACCATTAAGGCTGAGACATACAGACTTGACAAACACAAAGGGAGAATAAACAGAGACATGACTGGGGAAACAGACAAAGAATACACTGAAAAAATACAATCAAAACTATAAGACTTTAACCACAAACCCTTAAAAATAAACAAAAAAGAAAA